AGAGTCTATACAGAATTCGATTTGGGAAGATGAATATGGGTTGGATATTCAAACTGCTGGTAAAGGTGTCTGTGAGACATTTAGATGTTAAAATCTAAAATCGCTGATCTGGAGAAACAGTGTGGCTCACTCTGTCAGTCAGAGTGTTTCACACATAGAGGGCACCAGCCAAAATAGAACTAGAAAGAAACCAATACACACACAAGTTACTGTGTATATTTTTAAATATATAAAGGACTATATACCATATGTAAATATATGGTAAACATATAAGTAAATAAGAATTAAAATAGAGATGTTTACACACAAACTATGTGATGCTGTCTTATAGTCTGAGATGGTGTTTCTTCATGTAGGTGAGAGGCAACTTATGTATATATAACTAGAGATACTACACGTAATTACATATATGAACATGTATTTCTCCATATATATAAAGATAAATATTTATTTTAAAAAATTCCCAAATCTCACATAATCACACATAACCCCACAACGCAAATGCATTCCATGTTCCCTGGAGCATCTCACATAACACACACAGACACACACACACCACACACAGACACACACCACACACACCACACACCACACCACACACACACACACACACACAGATGTACTGCCAAGTTCCCTGGAAGACACTGTGCTTTGCTGCCACCTTGTGGCAGCACAGGGATCAAACAAGACCACAGGAGTCTTTCTGCTAGTTTTATAAGACATTTTATAGTTGGCAAATAAATGGCCACTGGCCTTTAACCAGAACAAGCCCAGCGGCCATTGCCCTCTAGTAGAAAAGCTGCCCACACTTCCAGAACCTCTCAATGAGGCTAGGCGTCCATGTTTTGAGTATGTAAGGTGGATGCATCCAATGGTGTCCCACATCAGGTGGGTGAAAAAGAGGCTTTCCTGGGAGAAGAGAAAATGCTGGGTCTGAGATTTCAGAATGTGCTGGGGGCAGTGCAGTTGTAGTGGGTTATGGTGGTACAGGGCCAGAGGGGCAGCAGGAGGACCGCGCGGGGTGCCCCTGAGAGTTTCTGGATGCAGACTGAGAAAGTCTGTTAGGGCAGAGTCTAGTGGGTCTAGAGCACCCCTCGTGGCAGCCTGAGGAACACCTGGATGAAAGGCAGAAAGGCAACAGAAGAGCCATGTGCCTGAGACCTCACACCAGTGTGAGCAGCAGGGAAACGGGTCTGGCTTAACAAAACCCCTGGGCTGCAATGTAGGTGGTTGACGAGGAAGAACCGTTCAGTGGTAGAGTATTCAGCACTGCCTTCCCAGCTGGATGAATAATGCCTGTCCCAAAATTAGGGCCCAGCTTGTGGTTGAGGCGGTTCATTGTGGTGGATTCAAATGAACTTGCTCAAGTGGGGATGCTACCGACAACCCTCAGGCCTTGGGCTGGAAACACTGTTAGCTTTTTGTCTGGCTTGTGCTTGTCAAAACAAGGCTGGATAATGCATGGCTGCAAAGCCAAAAAAAAAAATAGGTGATCTCTTCTGTTATTAGATGCTCAGGAAGACGGTGGCCAGGTGGAACTCGAATGGAAGAACACTTAATTTGATCAGGTATCGTAGGCTTTTGACGCTCCCATTCATGCCAACACAGCTAGCTGGTCAGCACTCTCTGTTGATGTCCACAAGTGTATGTGCAAGCTGGCCCAAACACCAAGGGAAATAATGTCTCTGATCTGACATCCAACGTGAAGCTGCATCTTCTCATGTGACCACAGGATCAACACTCAGTAGAGTCTCAGTGTTTTAACATCACTGATCTGCAGAAACAGTGCAGCCCAGCATGCTCATCTGAAGTGTTTCACACAGACAGGGCACCACCTAAGATATAACTAGAAATAAATATATTCACACACATAAATGTGTTTACATTTAAAGGTATAAGGAAGTATGTAACATGTAAAAACATGTGTATCAACATAGAAATATAGATGTGTAGACATAGATCTTTGCTGTACTCTCTGCCAGCCTACGTTGGTGTTCTTTCTTGCAGGTGATTAGAAAACATAAAATACACAGATTCTTATGAAGGAATAAATTTGAATATTTGGTCTAATTATATATATTTATACATAAATACATAGATTTAAAATAAATTTATAAATATAAATATATAAAAAATAAACATTACCCAAAACTCAATGAAAAACCCACACGTACTACAAACAGATGCATTTGCAGGTATATTGGGGCCATTGGGCCTCGGGGCCCTTCTTGCCACCTACTAGCAGCCTAGGGAACCCTAAAGCCACCAGGAGTCCTTTCCTGCCAGGTCCATGTCACTGGTCATGGATGGGAAACACCTGGCCATTGCCCTTTAACAAGAGCCAGTCCCAAGGCCATCACCCTCCATTGGGAAAAATGGCCAGTTTCCCAGAACTTGTGCATCAGGTTAGCTGGGCTTCTTTGGAACACTTCAGGTAGGGGCAATACAATTAGTTTGGTGAGTAGAGAAAAGGCTTTTCATGGAGAGAAAGGAGGGTCTGAGCCCTCAGGATGCACTGGGAGCAGAGAAAGGCAGGTTCAGTAAGATGGCACAGGATGGAGGGACAGGCAGGCCAGAGTGAAACTGCACTGAGTGCCCTTGAGAGCATTTGGGGACCAAAAGCAGCAGCATGACTTCCCCCAAACACTGAAGGAAGCAATGGCCTTGACGCCCGAAGTCAAAAGCACAGCTGCATCTTCCCACTGGGCCAGAGAATCATCAGCACTGGGTAGGGTCTCAGCTTTGGAAATCACTGATCTGGAGGAACAGGGAGGGCCAGCCTGTTGGTCTGGAGTGTTTCACACATTCAGGATCTCAGCTAAGACACAGCGAGAAATAGACATATCCACATACAGAAACATGTGTTTGTTAAAGATGTAAGGGCATATTTAACATATGTGAATATACGTATCAGCATATAAATAAATTTATATATATATATATTTATTTATACAGGAAACTGGGTAGGGCTTTCTACCTGTCCATGGTGGTGTTTCTCCACTCAGGCAAGAAGAAAATCTATCTGTCTATCTATCTATCCACACACACATAAATATATACATATTCATATAAATAAGTGAATGCAAATATTCTGTATAATCTGTATATATAGAAAAATATGTATGAACAAATACGTAAATATAGGTATATATGTGTAAGTCTCTACATACAAAATAAAGAAAACCCAAACAAGTTACCCCAAATCCACACAGATGCACTTGCATTTATACGAGAAGCCATTGGGCCCCCTTACCACAGACGGGCAGTGGAGTGAAACAAAAGGCCCAAAGGCTCCTTTCCTGCCAGTTCCGTGTGAACCTCCACAAATGACAAACCCCTGAACATGGCCCTTTGACCAGATCCCTCCCAAAGGCCATAATCTTCTAGTGGGAAAGCTGCCCACTTATCCAGAAGCTGTCAGTCAGGACAGGGGCTCCTCTTTTGATAGTTGAGGTGGGGACATAGAGAGGCATCCCGGTTTGGGTGGGTGGAGAAGAGGCTTTCCAGGAGGATGAAAACAGGCGAGGTCTGAACACACAGGAAGCACTGGGCACAGCATGAGTCTGGGTCATGTAAGGGGGCTGCGGGTCCGAGGGTCAGCAAGGCCAGAACAGGATGGCTCTGAGTGCTCCTGAGAGCATTTGGGGACCAGGAAAGTGGCCCCCCATTTATTCTGAAGACTGCATAGACCTGTGTGAACCCGTTATGGCAGGCTCCAGCTGCATCTTGAGAAACCAGGGCAGACTCAGAGAACACTTGGATTAAAGACACCTGGGAGGGAGGCTGAGATGGGCAGATCACTTGAGGTCAGGAGTTCGAGACCAGCCTGGCCAACATGGGGAAACCCCATCTCTACTAAAAATACAAAAAAAAAAAAAAAAAAAAAAAGCAGGTGTGGTGGTGGGCACCTGTGATCCCAGCTACTAGGGAGGCTGAGGCAGGAAAATCGCTTGAACCCAGAAGGCTGAGGTTGCAGTGAACTAAGATCGCGCCACTGCACTCTGGCCTGGGTGACAACGAGACTCCATTTAAAATTAAAAAATAATAATAATAATAAAAAGACACCTGAGAACCCCCAGGCTTGAGGTTTCTTCCAAAACTTTGAGAATCATGGAAATGGGTCTGGCTTGACAAAGCTTTCTTGTCCACAGTGTAGATGGTAGATGAGGAAAACCAGGTTAGAGGCAGATGCTGGACATGGCCATCCCCAGGGGATGGATGATGCCTTTCAAAGAACTCGGCCCCAGCTTGTGGGTGAGGCAGGTGTGTTCCAGGAGGCTGAACTGCACGTGCAAAAGTCGAAAGTCCACCGGGATCCCTAAGGTTCCGGGCCTGGCATCTGGCCTTGGGACAGCAGCAGTGCTAGATTTCTGCACAGACTTTGGGTCGCCAAGTCTAGGCTGAAAACTGTATTGTCTTACGCCCAAAAGAAAGCCCTGTCTCTTCTGTCCTTTGAAGCTCAGGGAGGTAGTAACCAGATGGAACAGAGGTGCCTTTCCACTCTCCCAGGGGATAAACTGTCAGTGGGGCTCAGTGTGTGGAAACTGCTGCTCTGAAGAAATGGAGCCGTGAGGTCTGCTGGTCTGGAGTGCTTCACACACACAGGACACCAGTTGAGGCATAATTCGAACAAACACATACACAAATTCATGTCTATACTTTTAATATATGAAGAAATAGATAACATATATAAATATATGTATCAACATAAATAAATAAAAATTAAAACATAGATATTTATACATGAAACTTCTAAGAGCTCTTTGCCTTTGTGGTGGTGTGCCTCCAGGCAAGAACAAGAAAGCCTACACATGTAAATTAATACATAAAAAGATGTATTACTTAGTAAACATATATAATCACATAGATTTATTTATAAATATGCATGTATGTATGTACATATATTCAAATATGTATGTATGTACATATATTCAAATAGATATGTATGTATATTCATATATACATCATAAACCCTCAAGCATGTGGGTATATACACACACACACACGAATAAACTAAACATAACCCAAAAATCTCACACAAACACACACACACCCCCCCACACAGATGCACGTACTTTTACACTCCTGGTCATTGGGCAATGCTGCCACCTACTGGAATGGAGCCAAAAAGCCACATTGCATGACCCCTTTGCAGATGGTAAACACTCAGCCATCCCTTTGAAGCAGGGCCAGTCCAAAGGCCATCATCCTCTGACTTAAAAGCTGTCCACATCGCCAGAACCTGTCAATCAGCATAGGTGCTCTTAGGTGGTTGCATTCAAGGGTGTCTTTCATGGCTGACTGAACTACAAAGGAGCAGGTGAAGCTTTCTCAGCACAGCTGCATCTTCCCAGTTCACCAGAGGAACCTCACTCAGTGGGGGCTCAGGGATTTGGAATCTCTGCTATTAGGAAACAGTGTGGGACACTCTGTAAGTCTGGAGCGTTTCACACATAGAAGACATAAGCAAAGATATAACTAGAAATAAATATACACACAAATATGAACATTTAAAATGTCTCATGAACTATGTGACACGTGAATATGTGCATCAACATAGAAATAATTTAAAACTGATATACAGATATTTATACATACAATACCATAGTGCTTTTTACCAGACTGTGGTGCTGCTTCTCTATGCAAAAGAGTAAAAATCATCTACACACAAACACACACACACACACACGGAAACTATAATATTGTACCCAAAATATACTTCTTTGGCATATTTTGAGATGACCCTTCAGAGGGCCTGCAATCAGAAGGAGCCCTGCAAAGTTGTCTTTTGCAGGTGAGATTCGCAACTTTGTAGAAAAGCTGCATTGATAGAGTCATAATTGAAGCTCTGAGGCCCTCCCTTGTCTGGATGTAAAAAACTGAGAGTCTGACACCTTTAGAGGTCTGAGAAAAAAAAATTACCAACTCTTTCTCTGAGGGCTACTACCGGTGACGATTCTTGTAAATAACAAGACCACGTTTCCTAGCCAGGCCTTTCTGTCTCCTCTGTTAACTGGTTTTGCCAGCATCCCCTGTTTTGCCACTATCCATGCCCCTATTCTTTGTGTTACCTTAAGATGTCATAAAACATCGAACCTTTGCTTCTGTCTGAATTCCTATATTCTGTATATTTCATGTGCACATAATCCAAATGTATATACATTTGCATGCTTTTTCTCTGAGTAATCTGCCTCTGGTCAAATGTTACTTTAGAGAAACTCAAGAGGGCAAAGGAGAAGTTTACCCTTGGCCTGTACAATATATCTATACCTCAATAAATAGAGATATCATATATACAGACACATGTATACAATATATGGGGATAAATAGGTAGACATATATAAATTTAAATATATGAAATAAACACAACCAGAAAATAAACACACACAAACACAAAAACAGATGCAAACACATTTACACTAGGGGCCACTGGACCATCTTGCCACCTGCTAACGTAAAGGGAGCCACAAAGGTCACAGGAATATGTTTTGTTTTGTTTTGTGGGTTATTTTTTTTTTTGAGACGTGGTCTCACTCTGCCACGCAGGCTGAGATGCAGTGGCATGATCTTGGCTCACTGCAACCTTTGCCTCACAGGTTCAAGCAATTCTCCTGCCTCACCTTCCCCAGCAGCTGGGATTACAGGCATGGGCCACCACGCCCGGATAATTTTTGGATTTTTAGTAGAAACGGGGTTTCTCCATGTTGGCCAGGTAGTCTCAAACTCCTAACCTCAGGTGATCTGCTCTCCTCGGCCTCTCAAAGTGCTGGGATTATAGGTGTGAGCCACCGTGCCCAGCCCAACCACAGGAGTTTTACCCTGTCACTTCCATGTGACCCCACACTGATGGCAAACATCAGCTCACCACTTTAACCAGACCCAGCCCAGGTGCCGTCACCCTCCAGTGCAAAAGATGTCCACATTCCAAGAATCTGGCAGTCAGGATTGGTGCTCTCCTTTTGAACACCTTAAGAGCATATGTGGTGTCCCGTTTAAGTGGGTGGAGAAGAGCCTTCGTGCAGAAAAAAAGAACGGCCAGGTCTGAGCCTTCAGCATGTGCTGGGGGCAGTGTGAGTGCATGAGAAGCATGATGGCAAAAGGCTGAAGGGACAGTGAGGCCAGGGAAGGTCTCTGCTGAGGACCATTGACAATTTTCAGGAATCAGGAAAATGGGTCAGACTCTGAAGGCTACTCAATTCTGAGGAAGTTTGTTCCAGCCAGTTTCATCTGGACTGAGAAAACTCTGCAGTTGTTCTTGAGGTACGTGAGGAGTCAGGTGCATGAGGTTTCTTTCGTAAAAATAAAACACATGGAAAACAGAGTTCTGGCTTTCTAGACTCCAAAATAGGTGGCAGGCAAAGAAAACCATGTCAGAAAAAAGGCTGTTGGACACTGCTGACTCAGTGAATGGATAGTGTCTGTCACCAAACTAAAACTTAGCTTGTGCAGTGATGTGATGCTGCCATATCAGATATGAACTGTACATGCACAAGCCAGGAAGCTACAGAGAGCCCCAAGGCCCTGGGCTAGGGATCTAGCCTTGGCCTGAAACACTGCTAGCTTCCCAGCTGGCCTCTGCATCCCAAGGCCAGGCTGAAGTGCATGGACCTACAGAAAGCCCCATCTTTTCTATTTTTAAAATCTCATGGAGGTACCAACCAGATAAGACTTGAATGGAAAAATCACCTGATATTACCCAGTTCCATAGGCTTTTAGCATCTCCATTCATCCCGGAACATCCAGTCAGCTCTCTCTGCTGTGTCCTAGAGCACCAGGAAACGAATAAATAGTCCTAGAATGAGACACAAAGGATAAAGCCAAGTATTAGAGGTGAGTCGCAAGGCAGGCAGTGGCTCTTCTGCCTCATCCCCTCTGCATGAGCATTGTAGGGAGGAGGTCTGGGTGACAGGAATCATTTGAAGTCTCCTCCCTCCTCACTGGAGAGTCGTAAGACCTGAGGTCTACAAGGAACCTACCGTCCTTGCCTTTGTTGGGGGTTACTCAGCAGCCAACTGCCTATGCTCTGGGTCTTTAGTTCAGATTTTGATGATTCCTGGGGGTGCTATAGAGTCATCATGTGCCTTGACAGTAAGTGTGTGGGAGCTAGGTTTAGTCTGGCAGAAAGAGAAGTACAGGGACTCCTGAGGAGCAAAGCCTCTTCAGGAAAGAAGAGTTGAGCTCAGGCATCTCCTTCAGAAGTGCTGGCTCACTGCTACTTCTACACCTCACCGTACCGGGGGAGTCTTCTCTGAGGCTGCCCTGGGTCCTGTCTGCCTGGACACTCACCCTGCAGATAACTCTCTGCATTCAGCAGGGTCTGGCCCAGGCCTCTCCTGGGGACTGGAGACCACTCTGCTCTTCTCCAGACACTGCAGAATTCTGGGGAGGAGAGGAAGGTAGAATAAACACTTTCTTCCTGCTTCTCTAGGTTGCTGGGTCATCTCTCTCCTCCTTTTAGCTGCAGACTCACAGTCTACCCCCTTCTTCTTCTTTACAAGCCCCTTAGGTCCTCCAAGGACCAAAGTAAAAAAATGTTTTCAAAATGTGTAGGTTCATTCTACTTCCACCCTGCTATGTAACTTCCCTGAAGTGACACGCACAGGTTCTTCCATCGGCTTGTGAGGAAGTTTCATCTGCTTGTGGAAAATAAAAGACAAACAAGGGATACAATTCAATATTTTAAAAAATAATATTTAGGAAAATCAATCCTAAAGATATTGATTATAAAAACCCACTATTTTGGTATAAATTTGTCAACCTGAAATAATCAAAGGAAGAGAATCTCATTTCCAAGAGTGTACTCAAGTGAAAGCTGGGAAAACCCCTTCATCTTGGTAAGTGCAGGAGTGAGAGAAATAGAATGCATAAGTCATTTATTTATAGACAGCCATCCACTTCTTAGAATATGCTCACTGTATTCACACAACACTGTTTTTGAGGCCTACTAATAGTGCTTTGTTTATATGTATGTATGCATATATGTGCACAAATATCCATTTCCTATAAAATATATAGTTAATATAGCTATGTTACATCATGATGAAATTGTGTGTAATCACTATAATATATAGAGAAAAATATATACATCTATAAATGTAAATGTATAAAATAAACACAACAAGAAAATAAGCACACACAAAAAACAGTTGCAAATACACTTATACTAGGGACCATTGGGCCCTCTTGCCACCTGCAAATACATTTATATGACATTGTGTGTAAAAGCTATGATATATATAGAGAAATATATACATATGTATGTATATAAATATAAATGTACACAAGAAACACAACCATATCTTATGCATAAAATCTCCAAGTAAAGGTTATCTAAATTTAGTATATATTTCAGTACAATAAACATTGCAAATAAGATCTTTGAAAACGTCCTCTGTGGCCTCTTGTCAGGGGAATATGCCCAGGATGTGATGACGGGACATAAAGTATATGCATCATTATTTTCACTAAGTATGAAGAAAATCACCAACTGTGTCTGCATCCTTGAGGTAAAACATGAACACGTCCACATATATTTCTACTAAATTTGGCATAAGCCAAATTTCTAAAATTAATAAATTGATATAAAGTGTCCTTTTTTTTTTGAGATGGAGTTTCACTCTTCTTGCCCAGGCTGGAGTGCAATGGTGCAATCTCTGCTCACTGCAACCTCTGCCTCCTGAGTTCAAGTCATTCTCCTACCTCAACCTCCGAACTAGCTGGGATTACAGGCGCCCACCATCAGGCCCAGCTAACTTTCTGTATTTTTAGTAGAGATGGGGTTTCACCATGTTGGCCAGGCTGGTCTTGAACTCCTGACCTCAGGTGATCCACCTACCTCGGCCTCCCAAAGTGCTGGGATTACAGGCGTGAGTCATCTTTTGTGCCATCTATCTGATCACTAATTTTTCCAAGTTTCCCTTCACATATTTTTAATCTATTAAAGTTTTTCCTACTTTGAATTACATTCATATGCTTCTCAGTGTTCTGTTGGATTTCACAAGTCTTTTCTTGTTAATGTAAAATATTTTCTTAAAAAGGAATCATTAGAATGAGTGTTCTGTGTGTCTAAAAATCCTAGTTTCTTCCGGATATTTATCCTCTCATTTTTTGTTAGTTACTAGAGCCCCACATATTCAGTTGATAACATCATCATCCATGTAAATACTACACTTCTTAGCCTCCCTTGCAGGACAGTGTGCCCGTGGAACTAAAGCTGGGAAAGTGAGAGAGGCAGAATTGTTTGTCTGTGACTTATAGGGACTTTCCTTACTGGAGGAGTTCTTTTGTTATTTTTTTTTTTTTCCCTCTCTCTCTCCTTTTTCATGATTGCAGCTGGGGATGCAGTTGTGTTTCCTGGAGCTCCAGCAGCCGTATGTGACTATGAGTAAGGGAGCTGTGCCCTGGGCAAAGCTGGGGAGTGCGGAGTTCTGATGGCTTATGAAGCAGAGCCGCCACACCAAATCTGGATGGCCAAGCCTCTGTCTGATTTTACATCAGCAAAAAGTATGCTAATTTGTCTAAGGGATTGTTATTTGGGGGATTTTCTGTCACATTCAATTGAACCTTATTCTATGTAGTGGAGGCTGTACATAGATCTACTCCATAAATACAGATTATAGAGAAGAATCCTGAATGACACAGGCAATGTGGCTTTGCCATCATGAATTGGTCAAGATTATTCCATTTTCACTTCTGGGTACCTTGAATGTAGTGTTTGACACGTGTTTCTTTTTCTTTTATCACAAGTTTAGCTCATTTAATGACTATTGGGCTAACCATGGCACATTCTTCTTCTGCATGCACCGTACCCTACATCCAGGTTCATGTCACTGTGTGATATCAGTGTCATTGTGACAGCTATAAGAGGATACAGGAGCAACAGTGCAACAAAGTCACCTCTTGGCTGATGTGAGTATTCCCTTAGGTTTAAGTGAACAGGAAAATGGGAGCTCAAAAACAGTCTGTCAAATGAGGTCGCAGAAACTATGTGCAAATTTAATTTAAAATGCTGAGCTCTGTCCTCAGTTGCACGTGCCTCTGCACAACAGGTTTCTATTCGGGAAGGGCAGTGTGGTTCTTCTCACATATTTTCCCTTTGTTTTCTCCCAGGCTTCGTGTGAAAGCAGAAGACCCATGAGAGAGCATCTGGAGACTGGCCCTACACTGCTTTTCTCCACAGGAATGTCAGCTGGGCACTGCAGCCACGTGTCCCAGGTGTCACTGAGGAGGGCTGCGTTCCCATCTTCAGTGAGGCAGAGCTGAGAGAAAGCAGGCAGGGTTCACAGTTGCCTCACCTACTTGTTTAAGCAATACATTAACAGTTCAAACTAAAAGAAATCTGAGATCTTATTGAAGCATTTAGAACAACATATAAAGCGCAGATCACTTTTAAATATTTGAGAATGCACACAAACCACATGAAGCTACTTTTGTTAACAGTATATGTTCTTTGCAGTAGCGGTTAGTAGAATTCTTTTGTGAGATGGCTTTTTTTTTTTTATTTTTTTGAGACAGGATCTTACTGTGTTACCCAGGCAGAAGTGCTGTGGTACAATCATAGCTCATTGCAGCCTGGAACTCCTGGGCTCAAGCAGTCCTCCCAAGTAGCTGAGACTGCAAGGACATGCCACCACATCTGACTATTTACCTATTTAATTTTTGTAGAGACAGAGTCTTACATGTTGCCCATGCTTTCTGGAACTCCTAGTCTAAAACAACCCTCCTGCCTCAGGCTCTCAAAGTGCTGGATTACAGGACTGAGCCATGGTGCTCTGCTAGCATTTTTTTTTTAAAGCAATCACCATTTGGATTCTTAGTTTTCTTAACTTTTAGGTTTCTAACAGTTCAATACACATTCAAGTGCTCCTTGGAATATTTTTTTCTGGTTTAACTACTGGTTTAGGCAATGTCTATGGCTTATTTTAGTGCTAGTCTGTATCCATTTGGTTAGAGTACGTATGAGTAAAGCCAAGGTCATTCAATGACTTCACTCCAATACGTTTTCTGTAATCTCTAATTCTAAAATTGCCTAATGATTTTGGGGAAAAAAAAGTGCTTTTGGGACAAATACTTCAGAGTCCCTACTCTGCTAATGCAGAGTCAGTCTTAATTAATAGTGAAAATGACATCGTTTTGCTTTATTCAATGAGATTAACTGAGCAAACATTTATTGAGCAGCAATTCTGGACAAGACATTAAGAAACATACAAAATGGGCCAGGCTCGGCGGCTCACACCTGTAATCCCAGCACTTTGGGAGGCCAAGGTGGGCAAATCACGAGATCAGGAGATGGAGACGATCCTGGCCAACATGATGATGAAACACCGTCTCTACTAAAATACAGAAGATTAGCCGGGTGTGGTAGTGGGCGCCTGTAGTCACAGCTACTCTGAAGGCTGAGGCAGGGGAATTGCTTGAACCCAGGAGGCAGAGATTGCAGTGAGCCCAGATCGCGCCACTGCACTCCAGCCTGGCGATAGAAGGAGACTCTGTCTCAAAAACAAACAAATAAAAAAGAAACATACAAAATGATAATAAATTGTATTGACATTAGGAAGCTTAAGGGAAATATGACATATTAATAAATTACTACAAATTAAGGCATAATATAATAATGGAAGAGAATAAAGTATTTTATTAAACATGTTCTACCACCCACAATTCCAAATGTGCAGCTTCACTCAGGGGAAGTAAGTTTCTAGGCCAGCAGCTAAGGATGCATTTAGTTTATTTTCAGCCTCTCAAAATGCAGTTCTGTAATCAGAATACAAAAACAACCAACAACAACACTAGCCCAAACTTCATTACATTTCAGGTAATACTAAAAGTCATACAATGCTTATAACATAAAACTTTGTTGTGGAGAGTATATTCAATAAACCTTACGTGTAAAGCAGTAAGAGCTCTTTGCCTACAAAACATAAAAAGTAATTACAATTAATACTCTTCAATATATCTAAGATGCATTGCTATCGTTCACTGACTTGCTCAATTGATCCTCTCTCAGTCAACTCATGGCTCTTCCTTACCACTAAGCGGCAGTAAAGGCTAAATAATGATGCAAATCTACTAAAGCATTCCCTATCCAAGTGAAGTTTTCCCATTATTTACACTTAATAAACAAATACATAAATAAAGGTGAGATGGGATTTTAAACTTCCACATTTAAAAAAAAAAGGAGAGTGGAGGGAAAAGTGGGGAGGGGAGAAATAAAGACACGTGAATAAAACGTTTGCTTTACCATTTATCTTTCAAAATGACATGGAATGCCAATTTCAAGATCATTTAATCTTTAAAACAAAAAACAAAAAACAAAAAACACTGCAATCTGAATACCGTCCTTACAAACCTGCCAATCGCTGGTTCACTGTAGTAGGTCTCCCATGTTGCTTATATTGTCACTGAATTACACTTGACCCTTTCATAGGATTACCCTCCACCCTGTGGGTCTTCACTAACTAGGACCCCATCTGCCTGCATGCCGTGCTCACCACTTTCCTTGCCATCTATTAGCTCCTTCTTTAGTATTTGATCTTCAGGTCCCCACTTCCCCTTATAGCTCTTTCTAGCACTCTGGTTTTCTCTGTTCCTTTAGCCGACCGTATCCCAGATCAGCTCTCAGAGATGAAAATGGGGGACTTCAGGAGGGAGAAATCAAAGGAAAGCTGTTATTATAACCCTTCCTATCTTATTTTCCTATAAATTTCTCCCTTTCTGTCTTAGTCTTTCTCTCTAATACACACTCATGCACACACAGAGAGAAATTTACAGAGTAAGAGAGATTAGGAAGATACATTTCTTGGCAGGGTCAGAAAAAGGTTGAAGAGTTGCTGATATTAAAACAAATTTGAATTAAACATGTTTGGACTTCCTAGGTAGCTCCTTTCAAAAAGTTTAAGTTAAAGAATTTTGTTTAGGGCAGATTACAGAATATACATAAATTATTTGATACTGTTTTTGTTATTATTAAAGTACTAATCATATGTATAATATTTTTAAAGTAAAG